AATTATGTCCTTTTCATCTAATGTCTCATTTGGGGCTGGTATTTCTTTCTTTTCTGTTTGGATGATTTCTCCATAGCTGTCAATGATGTATCTAGGTCCCCTACTATAATAGTGTTTTGGTCAATTTCTCCCTTTAGTTCTGTTAGTAGTTGCTTTGTATATTTTGGTGCTCCCTGATAGCGGGTATAAATATTGATGACTGTTATGTCTTCTTGTTGTATGGTCTCCTTTATCATTATGAAATGTGCATCTTTGTCTGTTGTTACCTTTTTTATCCTGTAGTCCATTTCATCTGATATCAGCTACACATGCTTTCCTCTGATACCATTTGCTTGGAGTGTGAATTTTTACCCTTTCACTTTGAGTGTATGTTTATCTTTGTAGCTGAGTTGTGTCTCTTGGAGTCAGCATATGGTTGGGTTTAGTTTTTTGATCCAATCTGCTACTCGGTGCCTTTTTATTTTTGAGTTCAGTACATTTACATTTAGGGTGATTATTGATGTATGAGGATTTCCTATCATTTTATTTTTGGTTTTCTGGTAGGACTGTATCTCCTTTGTTTCTTTGCCTTTTTGTTGCTGTGTATTATTTCAGTGTGGTAGTATTGTATGATTTTTTTCCTCTGTTCTTTTTATATGTTGTATATTTCAGTTCATATTTTTTGAGAGGTTACCATTAAATTTATGTAAAAGAAAGTTTCACATTCAGAGTACTCCATTTTTTTCAGTATGCTTCCGTTCTCCATTCCCTTGTGCTGGTTCAGACCTCAACTCTCTTACCTTTTATTTTTTTGTTGTCACAAATGATCCCTATTTATGCTGTGAGTTGAAATTTGTGCTGCACTAGCAAGTTGTCTTTTTCCTCTTTTTAGTGTTTTTTTTCTTCTATACCCTGTATGTTTTGTTTAAGTGTATAGTGTCTCATTTTTTGAAGCAGTAGCCATTTCCTGCTTCTGTCTGTCTGTTCGTAATACTACTCATGGTTTTGTAGTCTTTTGCTCTTTTTTTCAGGTCGAATAGCCTCCTTCATTATTTATTGTAGTACGGGGCATTTGTTAGAAAATTCCCTCAGATTCTGTATGTTTGGAAAAGCTTTTATTCCTCCTTCATACCTAAAGGATATCTTTGCTGGATATATTATTCTTGGCTCAAAATTTCTCTATTTCAATAGTTTGAATATTTGATTTCACTCCCTCCTGGCTTGTAGATTTTCTGCTGAAAAATCTGCTGATAATCTAATGGGTCTTCCTTTGTAGGGTACCGTCTTCTTTTCCTTGGCTGCCTTGAGGATTCTTTCTTTGTCGTTAATTTTTGACAGTTTCAATACAATGTGCCTTGGAGTTGGCCTGTTGGGATTGAGGTAATTAGGAGTTGTATTTGCTTCTTGGATTCGAGGATCCAATTCTCACCCCAAGTTTGGGCATTTCTCATGAACTATTTGTTTGAATATTCTCTCTCTGTTCCTTTTTCTCTTCCTTCTCCTTCAGGTTTGTGCATTATTCTTATATTGCTGTTTCTTATGGAATCAGAAAGTTATTGTAGAGTTATTTCATTTCTTTTGTCTCTCAAGTCTCTCTCTTCTTCCACCTGTATCATTTGCAGATTTCTGTCTTCAATATCACTGATTCTTTCCTCCATCTGGTCAGTTCCATTGCCTAAGCTGGCTATTTCCTTCTTCATTTCTTTTATTGAGTTCTTTATCTCCAGAAATTCTACTTGGTTATTAATTTTTTAAGATTGTATTGGGGAATTGGGGGAGGGGAACAGCGTGGGGAATTGGGGGAAGGAGAACAGACAAGTTGCTGTCGTTTTGTTCCTCAGTCTAGTTGTGGAGGACATTGTTGCTTCACTGGCCCTTGTTGGTATTGTGATCATTGTGCTCTTCCCGACTGAGGCAGATCGGCCACCGGTCTCTGGACGGCCACCCACAGCGGCTCTTGGCAGCTCACGCTGGCTGCCAGCCACACACAGCAGCTCACGGCAGCCCACTGCAGCAGGGGCTGCAGCCCACACCATCGTTGGCGACTCACAGCAGCCCAGCTCCAGGTCGAGCTGTTGCACACCATCTTAGCTGTAGAGGGCAGTGTCACTGGCCCCCATGTGGGATCCGAACCGGGGACCTGCTGGTGTCCCAAGCCAGCTCCTAACCAACACGCCACTTGGCTGGACCTTGGTTATTTTTTTTTATTAGATTTTATTGTGGAATTGGGGGAGGGGAACAGAGTTGGGGAATTGGGGAAGGGGAACAGCTAAGCTGTTGTCCTTCTATCTTAGTTGTGGAGGGCACAGCAAGCTCAGCTCCAAGACCAGTTGTGCCACTCAGCTGAAGGTGCTGTGCTCAATTAGTTGTGGGTAGGCGTAGCCACCATCCCATGCTGGAGTTGAACCAGCAGCCTCATTGTTAAGAGTACACGCTCTATGCACTGAGCCATATCCGGGTGGCATCTCAGCTCAAGGTGCCAAGTTCAATCTTAGTTGCGGCTGGGCATAGCCACCATTCCATGCGGGAGTCGAACCGACAGCCTTCTTGTTAAGAGCGTTTGCTCTATCCCCTGAGCCACCCGGGCAGCAGCTCAGCTCAAGGTGCCGAGTTCAGTCTTTGGTTGTGAATGGGCCTAGCCCACCATCTTGAACAGGTAACCTTGTTGTTAGGAGCAGGTGCTCTCACCAGCTGAGCCATCCTGCCACCTGATGGCAGCTCAGCAGCAGCTCAGCTTGGATGCAGCTCACTGGCCCATGTGGAAATCGAACCAGCGACCCTGTTGCTCAGAGCTCACACTCTTGAGGAAGCTCTTAACCAACTGAGCCACTCGGCCAGGCCCTCTATTTGGTTATTTTTTTAAAATGTTCGTGTCTTTGGTAAAATGTTCATTTTGCTCTTTGATTGTGTTTCTGAATTCATTGAACTGCCTGTGTGTTCTTGCAACTCATTGAGTTTTTTCAGAACTGTGATCTTGAATTCTCTGTCATTTAAGTCACATGTTTCCATGTCTTTAATTTCATTTTCTGGATGTTTTTCATTTTCTTTCTGAGCTGCCTTGTTACCTTGTTTGTTCATGGCAACTAATTAATTATTATTTCTCTTCCTAGGCATCTACAGGAGTGGGTTCTGCAATAGGTTGATAGGAAGATGTCTTTATTTTGCTTTCCAGTAGTTGTTGGTGGAATGTTTTATTTTCTGTCTGACTGCAGCCTTCTATTCTCTCTCACGCTGAAGTGTTACATGTTCTCTGCACTGTTCCAGCTTCTCACCCAATGGGGTGATTCCCTGGAAGGTGGGCATCTCTGTGAGCATGTCGCCTGGGTTCCAACGCATCACCTCTGTGGGCAGATGTGGAGAGCTTCTGAAGTTCCAAAGTTATTCTTGCACCAGATTCAGGGCCTGTGTGTTTCAGCAGCTCTTTTTATCCCGGCAGGGATCCTCCCAGATAGGTGGTAGCAGGGGTGGGGTAGGTTGTGAGAGGTGGCTCTTGGCAATGGCAGCAACCCCCAGCACAGCCAGTTCTGCACCCAAGGCTCTCTCCCCTTCACCAGAACTAGTTAGTTGGGCTGGGAGTCTATGGCTGCGGGCCTCAGTTCTCAGAACTGCAAATATTCTGTTCTTTTGATCTGATACTACTAATGTTCAGCTTTTAACACTGGGCAGGTGGGGGTTGTGTGAGGTCTGAGAGGTGGGGAGGGGGCAGCTGGCCTCCGTGCCTATGCCTTGTCCTCTGCTTAGCAGTGAGGGCTTAAACCACCGTTTTCACCATTCGTCCCTCAGTCTTTGTTCCTAGGTCTCTGCCGTGAGGGTGGGGTTCAGCCATGTTATATGCTGATTCCTCATTTGGGAATGTGGGCCATAAGGGAAGCACTAGCTGTCTGAATTCTTCTCTCTCCCCCTACTGTGGTAGCTCCAGAATGCAGGGAGCTTGGATCTCCGAGCTCTGGTCTGTGCCTGTCCTGCCTCCTATGCGGCTGGCATCTCCAATCTTCCCCTTTCTCTCTTCCCTGCTTGCCCAGCGTGCCCACTTGTAGATGATTTCAGTTGCAAGTCTCTTAGTCTTGTCTATCTGCTGAGCAGGGATTTCTTTGTGGAATTATAGCTGTTCAATTTGTTGTAAATTCTAGGGGAGATTTCAAGGGGCTCACCTTATGCCGCCATTTCTATGATGTCCATCAGGTTTTTTTTAATACACACACACACACACACACACACACACACACACACATACGCTTCTTAAGATAATTATATCAACTATGTCACTTCCAGAATGATCACATGCCTTGAGCTATCAACTGAATTCATCATTTGCTTCATTATATTTTCATTCTATAAAGCTTCCTGTCACTTGCAAGCTTTACCAGTTTCAAATTTCTAGATTTATTATATATTCTCATCAGAAGGGTTTATGATGCTATATAATACTTGTTTTGTACTGTAGACATTTTATAGATATAAATTTCCAGAATGTTAGTAAAAGCGTACTGAGCAGAGGAAGAATTAAAGAGGAAGGAAAGGCATAGAATTGAGTTTTCAAAAATTGTTTACTTTGTATATGAAAACCAGAGAAATTTCTGTATCAAGAAGTACAACAGCATTAGCTAGTACTCTGTTAGCGTCACCAAGACAGATGGCATGAGGCATTTCATTGCATTACACTAAATTGGATAGCTTAATCCCTAAACTGATAAATGAGCCCTTTTAAATCTAAAATATTTATGATTCTCAGAAGAGTTTTATGGACTTGTAGAGTAAATTAAGAGTTCTAATGCTTATTAGACTATTACTATAAAATGAAAATGTGTATATTAAAAATGTTAAGCGTTAATACAGAATATTAATACCCTCTGGGAAAATTCCTAATCAAAATAACCTGAGTCTTGCAGTAAAGTCTGTGATGAATGTGAGTGTTTTACATGGATCCATTTTGGATATCTGGTTAGGAATCATTTTGATGTAACAACATTACGAGGGAAATTACTTACGATGATCCCTGTCACCTTTTTTTCTCATTACAGGCGTCTAACCAAGGAAAATGTGAAGCCTTCTGGAAGACAAATTGGGAAATTAAGCCACAGCAATCCAACCATTTTGTTTGATTATGTATGTTTTGTGGTTAATATTATCTTAAGGGATCCTTTTCCTTTTTGCTGTCTCTAAATCAGCACAAGTGGATATGGAATGATGTAATTTTTAAAATGTTTGGTAGTTTTAGGGGGAAAATACCTTTAGCAAATGAAACATTGTATGGTTATTCTCAAAACAAAACTTAGGATACAATATATTTGACACACTGACCTACTTTTCTAGTAATATGTAACAATGCTGTTATAAACAGTGTAACATCTTGTTTACCACATTTTGATTTTATAGAAACATTAAAGAGATTCATTATTTCATTTTTGTTGTTAGAAACATTTGAATAACATTTCATTGTGATTCAGATTTAACACTTTCGTATTTAGAAAGAGATTTTTAAAACACATTTGACAGGAGACTAGCCTCTATAATTCCACAATTAAGTTTAGATGCCCTGGAATTATTTCCTTATTGAAAAATGTAGCCTGAGAAAATATTTTCTAAGGAAATAATAGGATAGTAGGTTTTATATAAATACAAAATGGAAGGAAACTTTTGAAAAATAAAATGTATAGCCATTATTTAGTTAGCACAGTAGAAGTTCTCTTGATTAGTTAACACCTTCTATTCTTTGTTGCTGCCTTCCAGATCTTGTCACAAATACAGAAGTATGATAACTTAATAACTCCTGTAGTAGATTCACTGAAATACCTCACTTCCTTGAATTATGATGTCTTGGCCTGTATCCTTTCAAGTGAAGTATTACACATATTCCCCATTTCATAGATCTTAATGGTGAACATTTTATTTTCATTCTGAGTTCCTTTAATAACCACCTGAGGTTGATTCAGTTGGCTAATCTGAAGGTTGGCCAGTCAGGAGTGTATGTGTGTGTCTGTGTTGTGTATCGGGAGAGACAATGCTACATGTGCTAAACATCTTGATGCACGTGGAATCTGTTTTGTTTGTTGAAAGATGGAAAAGAGGCTAAAGAAGAAAAGTTGCTATTACAGTGAGTGTATTTTTCAATAATTGTAATAACTTGAAGCTAATTTTATTTTTTTCCAAGATTGGCATTTTTATGGTTTTAAGGGTTTTTGTTAGACATGTAGTCGTTTAAAATTTTTTTCTTAATGTATGAAAGATTGTATCATTGAAGCTTTAGCTAATCCAGAAAAGGAGAGAATGAAACATGATGACACAACCATCTCAAGTTGGCTTCAGAGTAAGTATTTTTATTTTTCCAAGGATGAAATTTCTATCTGTTCTAACTGCCATGCAATGTATTCTATTGCCTATGCTAATAAACTGTTGGCAAGAGCTCTTGAGAATATCTGGTCACTCAGTTTTTTTCTATAGAGTGTCAGCAGGTTCTTATAGTACTTATTCCTTTTCCAACTCAAGAGGCCAATGTTGGCTATGATAGAATTTTGGCAAGCATTACTAAAGAGATGAAAATTCCCTTCTGTTATTTTAGAGGAATTGATCTTAAGGCAACTATTCTCCCATCTTTCATTTCCATCCTGACATTCCAGTCATCTTAAAAGAACAAAAATTTGTTAGTTTAATAAAAAACTTGAGCCTTTTAAAACACTTCTTATACCTTTGATTTCTGGTAGCGAGTTCCCTTTTCTTTCACCCTATCATGTCTAATAGCTGAATCTTGCAGTAACTCCCTATGCCCTTTAAAGTTTGATATCTGTAATAAGTCATACAAGTAAGTTCTTTGGGAATCAGGTTCTTTTTGTTGTTGTTGTTATTGTTTTAAGCCACTTAGCTTTTTTTTTAATTAAGTTTGTTGGGGTGACATTGGTTAGTAAAATTATATAGGTTTCAAGTGTATACTTTTATAATACACCTTACTGTACTAGCCTCATCTTTTTACTCTCCCCAGTATTCTAGGGTTCATTAATACCGAACTTCTTGGTCTTTCCATGGCCTGTTTGCACATGTTATTCCCTCTACTTGGAATACCCTCCCATGGCTACTCATCTTCTCCATCACATCTTAGATTTCAGCTTAGAAATAATTTTCTTCAGAAAGCTCTCCCTATTAATGCGCCTACCCAAAAGTCAGAATTAGGTGCCCCTCTTCTGTACTCCCATGGAACCTTTTATTCATTATAGTTATTACAGTTTACTTCTCTGTATCCCTCACTAGACCATCAGCTCCTTGAGGACAGGACCTGTGTTCTGTCTAGTATCCTTTAGGTGCTCAGCTAATAATTGTTGAGAGGCCACAGATAACTTGACTTTACTAGGATCTCCTCCTCTTGGTTTGACTGGAGTTTTCTCTCTATCATGATGTGATAAGGACTATTGGCTAAAATTTGTCTTTTTTCTACTTCTTGGTCTGGCAATGCTTTGTGTATTTCCTTGCCTTTCCACAACTAGAAGCATGCTCCTAGATGAAAAGAGACTTTCTTCATGGCTCAAACATTTGAGGGGCAGGTGTTTTGTTCATCATTCAAGCTTACTGAATCATTTGCAAGATTTTGTTGGGGCCTAATAATGTCATAGGCTCTGGGATCAGACCGTATAGATTTGTGTCATTGCTCTGCCTCATGCCAACTATGTGACAATGAGCAGGTTGTATGATATATGTGTTCTACATTTTCATCGTTGATAGGTTTGTACCAACCTGAGATGATTACTGTAAAGATTAAATGAGATAATTAAAAAAGTGCTTAGTACAGTGCTTGGTATATGTTTGCTCAATAAATATTATCAATTATAAAACTCCATTAAATGGCATCAGCAATACAATTATTCTGACCGCTTTTTGTTTTAGAAATTGAGTTAGTTGAAGAAATGACACTTTAATATTGTGGTTTTTGTTTTATGAATTGTTTTCTAAAAGTCCTTTTTTCTAAAATTTCATATAGGTCTGGCTAGTTTCTGTGGTGCAGTTTTTCGTAAATATCCAATTGATCTTGCTGGTCTTCTTCAATATGTGGCTAATCAGCTAAAGGCGGGCAAAAGGTATTTATGGCAAGTTATATGTAAATGAAATTCAATAATTAGAATAATTCTGGTGATGTTGGAATATTGAGATTGCTGTTATCCTGAAAAACTATGTTTGTTGTAGGCTTAAGTAGAATAGTTGCTCACTTATTTATGTGGAGTTCTTTAATTAAAATAAATTATAATGTAACACATAAACACATTTTTTTGCAGAAACACATTAATATTTGGCTATTAGGTAACTCTAAAAAGACTAGCTCATTTTGATTACCTGTTAGGCTTTTGAATAAATAGTTAATAGGGTATATTGTAAATCCTCTTATGACAAAACATTGCACTATTGATTATTCTTCTGTACAGTTATTAGCCTTTACATTGAGCATTTGGTAAGGACATGTTTATTTTGAGGGCTTGTGTAGTATCTTTACCACAATTATTTTTGGAATTGGAACTTTAGAGATGCATAAAGCTTATATACCTTTTGGACAGTGTCCTATTTTTGTTTTTTTTTAATAAATGCTGAGTTTTATTATTTTATTCTGGACCAATATTAGTGCTTAGAGATTGAATTAGTATGTTTATTAAACCTCAGCAGCAATAGACTGACTAGAATCAAAGAACCAACTGGAAATTGTTTTCAAAAGCTTTCTGGTAGAAAGCAAACAAACACTTGTAAAGCTATCTGGTGTTCCAAACAAGTATTACGTAAGTAATTCTTGACAGTAATTTAGTTTAGGGGAAACTTTATTTAAAAAGTTAGATTCGGGATTTTATCAATATATCATTTATGCTGTAAGCATCTACCAGTCATTCCTGCACATTTTACTCTTCTGTGTCCATAGGCCAGAAGAACATTTGTTATTATTTTGAAATCTATAATTCAGTTTTCTGTACTGTGAATATAGTTTTTGTGACCATCTAATTAAAAGTTAGTTTAAAGAAAAGTTAAAATATTTCATTGGTACTTGTATACTAATTTGCACAAAGGTCCTCTTATTTTCAAAAACTACGTTTAGGAAAGACAAGGCAAGTTGAGAGAGTAAAGCTCTTACTAAGAATGTTAGAAAACTGTTCCTTTTTCTATTAACATGTTTTGTGTAACTTTACCTTTGGAGAAAACATCTGTATTTGTTTTGTAGGGAACAATGCTTTCAATCTATCTTCATTAGTTAACTAATTAAAGAAGATCTTGGAATTCATAGGTGTTCTTTCCATTTGCAGTCCTAAACTTTGAGAATTAAAATGTATAACTTGGCACAGTAATAAATGTGATTAAGGCTGGCCACTAAACTGTCATCTTAGGCTCAAATAGCACAACTTGGAACTTCCGTTCCCTTCCTTTTTTCCATCCCTCTTTCCTTTCCTCCCTCCCTCCCTTCCAGGTGTGTGTGATTATTTAGAGAGATGCTCTATACTATCAAAAATATATATTGGCCATCCTATACTGGATGATTAAAAAATGTTATGAAGGACGTTATTGGGTCAACTGATAATGAACTATAGATTAGATAAAAGTATTGTGTCAATGTTAGATTTACTAAAATTGATCTGTGCTATGGTTATATAAAAGAATAGCTATATTTTTAGGAAATGCACTCTTAGGTGATATATTCTTAGGAATTTTAAGGGTAAAATGTACCCCTAAAGTGATGTTACTTACTAAATAAGTTATTCTCAAATGGTTCAAAAATTTGTGTGCATGTGTGTGTGTGAAGAGAGAGAGAGGGGTGGGAGAGAGAAAAAACACAAATGATAAAGCAACAGGAGTAAGAATGTTAAGTGAAGTTGAAGTAAAGTGTATACATGGGTGTGCTTTGTACTATTTTTATTTTTACATGTTATCTGTACGTTTGAAATTATTTCCAAGTAAAAAGTTAAAATAAAGATAAACATATTAGATAGCCCAAACATTTTTCAGTATAGTTCTAGGAATGCAGTTTTTCCTTAAAAACCATTCCAGCCCCTTTCCTCTCATATTTGTATACAGATAATTAAGGGATTCTTAGTATATTAATTACAATATATTGTCACTGTTGTGTTTGAAATTTCAATTATAGGCTGTCTCTTATTTTTTCTAAACAGTTTTGACCTGCTTATATTGAAAGAAGTGGTACAAAAAATGGCAGGAATAGAAATTACAGAGGAAATGACAATGGAGCAACTAGAGGCCATGACTGGTGGAGAACAACTAAAAGCTGAGGTGAGAGTTGCTGTTTTTGTTTATTGACTTTTTAAATTCAAAACGTATGAATGCTCATAGTAAAGAATCCAAACAATACATAACTACATAAAGCCAAACATCAAAGCTATGCATACCCTTCTCTCACTACTGCCTCCAGATCCCTTTTAAAAATTGAGATATACTGTTTATTTTAACTTTTTTGAAAAGCTGAAACAAAGTATAAAAGAGTGTAAGTAATACATCTGTAAGAGAAATAAATATCAAATCTTCTGTGGTCCTTGATATCCTAACTGGCATAAATCTGAACATAATTGCTCTGTTGCTGAATCTGCTCCACGCTGTATAAAGAACAAACACTCCTTTATAAGGAAGGGACTACAAGGTAGAAAATGGAAAATATGCAGAAGTTTCAAGACAATCTTTAAGCCAGTGACTATAACCAGTAATGGTGTCACTAAAATAAATTTGTGCAGAAAGGGAAGGAATATAGACTGTATGAGTTATCTTCAGGATTATAACTGAACCTTTTCTGTCTTTTTTTTTAAACCAGATGGCATATGTTATGTACTGTATGTCAGTAAATCTATGTCTTCTCTTTTGTAGGGTGGTTATTTTGGCCAGATCAGAAACACTAAAAAATCCTCCCAGAGATTAAAGGACGCACTATTGGACCATGATCTTGCTCTTCCTCTCTGTTTGCTTATGGCTCAGCAGAGGAATGGGGTGATCTTTCAGGAAGGTGGAGAGAAACATTTGAAACTTGTGGGAAAGCTCTATGATCAGGCAAGTTGAAGTGGCTTTTATGTTTATGTGGATTTTTTTATCCTGATAATGGCAAATTAGAATGTTATATAACTTGAAAAAATGTCATTTTGCACATCATATGAGTGTGAAACAGCTCTAATGTAAAATAGACATTCTGGAAATATGGGCTATTTCTGTGCAAATTATGATATTTAAGTGATGGACCTTGGAGATGTAATAATATGTATAAGTATTCAATTAAGTAGATAACTTCAAGTTGTTTGCTCTCATATCTTTCCTGATCTCTGTAAATCTAATTTCAATCACAATAAAGTATATTGTTCTTTATTTATAAAATATATTTATAAATATTAAGCACCAATCCCTATGGTTAGCCTACAAAATGTGTTTGACTATCACTATATTACAAGGAAAACAAAAATCATATATATTTAAGTAAAGTTTTCATCTTTTCAAGGCAAAATAATTGACTTTTATATACATAAAATTGTATGTGATTTAGGTAAATATATTCTACTAAAAGTGATGAACAATAGCTTGGAACTTGACACCTGGTTGATGTTAAAGCCTTAGATTAGTCAACTTTTCAGGACCTCGGTGTTTTGTGTAATGTGATTATATGATTATGTTTGTAGATTGTCTCTAAAATTCTTTCAACTTCTAAAATTTGAACTCTTGTTAATCAAAATATTGTTAAAATGACATCTTAATCATTTTGGAAAATGTTTATGTTATTTTTGTAAAATGGTGGCACATTTGTGTTTTTTTTGTCTTATTTTTAAATTTAGTGTCACGATACCCTGGTACAGTTTGGTGGGTTTTTAGCATCTAATCTAAGCACAGAAGATTATATAAAGCGAGTACCTTCAATTGATGTGCTCTGTAATGAATTTCATACACCCCATGATGCAGCATTTTTCCTGTCTAGGCCAATGTATGCACACCATATTTCAGTAAGTATAAATCTTTGCTGCCACTCAACAATTATTCCAAACTAGATTTTAACTGTTTTATTTGTAATTGCACTTTACTTTGACATAGATACAGATTATGTCTTTTCGAGAGTTACTCTTTTGTTAATACCCAGCTCTGAGCAGTGAACAATGAAAATGACCCCTTTAAAATTAAGTCTTACTTGTTCTATAATTTTACGTTATTATGCCACCAGTTGTCCAGGTTGGTATCTTATGGGCCCTCTAGAACTATAATTCTCAAACATTAGTGTAGGTGATAATCCCCAGGGAAGCATCTTAAAACCTCAATTCCATGTCCCTAAATTTTAATTTAGTAACTTCAATGGTACCTGGAAATTTATTTTGTTTTGTATGTTTGTTTTTCAATATGCACTAGGTGAATGTGACACTCCTTTTGAATACAGAGTCCTTTTTTCTCAATGACAATATCCCTGTCAGATAGTTGACTTGTTATTACACATACTGTCTTGAAACAAATACAGACTGTTTGAAAACCTCTTATAGTCTCTGTTGTGTAACTTCTAGGAAAGGTGTATTTATGTTTCTTGTTTTATTTCCCTCCACCTAAATGAAACAACAAAAACCAAACAACAACAATAAGCAAACTAGAGCCTTCCCAAAGCAGGGTATCCCAGTAGTGACTGTATTGAAATTCAAGTAAGGATGTGGAGGAAGAGGAGACAGCCCTCTGTCCTCTCCTCTGTCTGCCACCTGGACTTCGCAACGCAGTGACCACTAATGGGAATTCACTTTTCCTTTTCCCTCAGGGCTATCCATGGTCAATCCTTTGGAAACTGTGGTACTTGCCCACTCTGACTGGAGTCCCAGCTTATTCTTCATTTTTATGTAGACTTGAATTCTCTTTATTGTTGTTTTTAAGTCGGTACTATACAAGGCTTTCACTACAGATTTGGGGGAAGTTCTTGGTCCTTTCTCTTAAACTAGGATCCCATCTTTATTCCCAGTAGGGATACGGGGCTGTATAGTAGAGGCGTGGACAAAAGGCCATGGAAAAAAGGCTGCTGAGAAATTTGGGGCCAATTCATCATTTAATGGACCACCAGCTCTTAGTGTTTACATACCAACTGCTCCAGTTTTCATACCTCTCTCTAACAACTAACTAAATATTAATTGATTTAATTATCACTTTATTATCATTATGCAGCTATTTTGTGCTGTACTCTCTAGAGGAGAAAAGGGGATAAAGGAGTAGGATTAGGCCTTTTCTTCTCTTTCAGAATCCAGAAAATTGTATGCTCTCTTTGCATAGTTATGTCTTGTGTTGTCGCCCCACCCCACAGTAGATCAGTCTCAGCTATACAACAGGGGACCTGATTTCTTGAAGGACTGAGGTGGGAGAATTTCTTCATCTCAGGAATTCTGACCTGCTCTGTGCTATACTGAGAAGAGAACACCCTAATCAGCGATATTGAACCCTAGCAAACAGGAAAACCTGGTTGCCTGAGGTTGGCTGAACTTTTGCAGGTCAGAAAATGGAGCAGGTCATTCATACCAATAGCTACCTTTTCTGTAGCCTGTGTAAAATATTATGTCTTTATCATTTAAGAGATACTCAAATCTAAAGAAAGAAATGTCATTTCCCTCTCAGGGTTGAGGAGGAAAACAAAGAACTACACAGAGGTGGCTATACAGTCAAGTCAGGGATAAGTCTTCTGTTACCCCTAGACTCAGATGCCATGTGCCACCCTCTGGAAAGGGAGTTCTTTGGCAACCTTGGTTGTATTGGATGACATCTAACCTTCCCTGGATTCTTGCTTTTGCTTCTTGGGTGAAAGCCTCTCTTGAAGAGCCTTCGAAGAGAGAGTATGAGTATTGGAAGACTGCTAGGTCCCTTTCATAAACTGATTACCAGCATCAGCCAACCAAACACTGCTTAGATTATTGAGCCAACAGGAACTTTTTGAACTATAATTAGAAGTACAGCAGTAACTGGATATTAGTTCTATCCATAGATCTAGTTCCTCAGGTGATTTGAGATGTAGAGCTATTATGCCTCTCCATTTGACTGAAGATGTGAGCTTGACAAGGGAGTTTAACTGACTATACAAGGAAATATTCATCATGGGTAAATATGAAATGTAGGTTAGGTGTCTTTTCTGATCAACCCTGTTTTTTTTTAACTAGATAGAGAACGGGGTGGGGGCTTCCTAGCAATAGAAGTCACAGATTCAGAAGCAGAGGATTGGGGAGACTGGGGCTATCATATAACCTATAACCTAATTTTCAGTTTTAATTGCTGAGACTCACCTTGCAATATGGGTCTGAAAGAAAGTTAATAATCTAGATATCACCTAAATCAGGTAGCAAAGCTGTCTTATGCAAGTAGTTTCAGCACTGTTTTATCCTGTGTTTTGTTAGAACCTTGACGGATTTCATTCTGCTCACATAGACTTATATTAGTTACCATCAACGGACCTGCCCTCAAAATTTTAAAAACCCTTTCTTATCCCAGGTGCTATTCTCTCACGTCTTCATGTAATTGGGGCTTCTCTCTCATAAGTAACATTCTTGTAGCTTTGTCTCCTGTGTGGTCTCAGTGGTTAACAGTGTGCTCTCCAAAATGAGAATAACAGGATATAAATCTTCCCACTTCTAGAATAATTGTACGATTCTCAGAGCCTGCTTGAGATACCCTTTGAAACAAAGAGGACTTGGTATACCTTCAAGTCCAGTGAGCCTGGGATATATTGGCACTCAGGAGGGAAGGCAGCTGGACATAAAGTAGCCAAGACTCTTGCCTATCATGATGCAAATCTACAAGTAGAATATTTGACCTCTGACCTTCTAGTTTTGGGTTTCATGTTTAGCACAAACTGAATGATTTAAGTGCTTTTCTAATGTAAATAAGAAGCTAGTTTTAGATCTCCTCTTAGGTTCATCTTTAGGGATACATGCCTAACCCTAACAAAATTTTCTGGGTGAGAGCTCTTTCATCCTAAAGAAACTAAAAGACATGAGGAAATAGCAATAGCTCCACTTAGTATTATTTTCTTTTTGACATTTGGCATATACTTTGTGAACTAATATGTAGGTCCTCCCAATTGTACTAACAGATTCTTTTTCTCATACAGTTAAGAGGATAGCCTTCCTCGGAATCATCCCCCAAATTAGGATAAACCAATCAAGCCAAAAACGCTGCCGTGTCAGTTCCCACACACTTCAAACTCCAATGATACCATAGCCATTCATAGAAAATCTTATTTAGCTTAGCATTTGGGTGACCAGTTGGCCCTGGCTTACCTAGGACTTGCCCAGGTTTAGCACTAAAGTTTTGTATGCCAGGAAATCCCTCAGTCACTGGCAAACCTAGACAGTTGGTCACCCTACTTAGCAGTCTTATGGTAATTTTCTTATAATCTTTCTTAATGTCGATCCAGCTTCTTAATTCACAAATTGTAACAGCTGATAGGGGCTACACATAGTGATAAAACATTCTGTCCTGGTTGGCTGTTACTAGTTCCATTCTACCTCTTTACTAGTGTTAAAACCCTCTACTTGGTTCTTTTGAATACCTCAAAAGCAGGAGTGGAAACCCCACATGTACAATCTTTGATGCAGCAATAAGACAGAGTAGGGTGGGGGGAATGGACTGGAGGCACACATACTCTATTCACTTACACAGCAGGTGATATTCAGTAAGAATCTTCTTGAAAGCTCCTAGTGAGCACACAGGACTAAAGAGTGTAACAGCTTTCAGGGATGATTTACCTTAAAATAAATGTTCATAAGAAATTAGAATTCCTACAACAATTTTGATTGGCCATCTTCTGATTCTTGAAAAGGGAACATAGGTTTTTACACTATGAAAGTCAATGCTGTCAATTGTTTTGTGTGTGTATGTTTACTTTTATTTCTAGTCCAAGTATGACGAACTTAAAAAATCAGAAAAGGGAAGTAAACAGCAACATAAAGTCCACAAGTATATTACGTCATGTGAAATGGTGATGGCTCCTGTCCATGAAGCAGTGGTCTCCTTACATGTTTCCAAAGTCTGGGATGACATCAGCCCTCAATTCTATGCCACATTCTGGTCATTGACAATGTATGACCTTGCAGTTCCACATACCAGCTATGAACGGGAAGTCAATAAACTTAAAGTCCAGATGAAAGCAATTGATGACAATCAGGAAATGGTAGGTTTTTGTTCTAGTAGCTCAAATACGATAACTTCATGGCTTTAATTCAACATTACCCATACTTGTATTAGCTCAGGTTCCTTAAAGCTACAATCTTGTTGCTATGTAATATTTTCCTAAGTGGGTTTATAGTGACCTCTCAGTGGATGGGGTCAGGTACTTGGTGAGTACATGGAGGTTTTGATCAATCAAAAGGTATTTGAGTTTGCTTTTCTACTTAAGGCTGTGTTAGCAACTTCAAATGATCTGTGTGACTCCAGTTGCAAGAGCAATAGGGATTCCCAAAAGGAGAACTTTTTAGGGGAAGGCTTTATTGATGAGGTATGAGTCTTGATCTGGGTAGGCCTTGAAGGTAGATTCGTTTTGAAAAAATGGAGGCACATTGGCTACTCCAGAGCTCCAACCAAGTTGTGAAGTAGTCCAACGTTTAAGGACACCACTTTTACTGTAGTGAATGGGCTTAGTGATACATTTGAGTGGTTAGGATGGGGCCAGAGTATGTAGAGCAGTGAATGTTAGAAAAGAGGATGTGACTAAAATTGAAACCTAAGTTAGATTCCTGACTAGGAGTGTGATCATGGTATAAATGGTACTTTAGAAAGATTACTCGTGACAGCAGTATAAGGGATACATTTGATAGGGGAAGGGACTGGCACTGGGCTAGAGATCAGCTAGGGGGCTGTTTTTGGTAACTCATTGTGAAGCACCAAGAGCATAGGCTATGGTGGAGGTGGTGGGAATGCACAAGACTTGTAAGCAATTGGGATATTGGAATGGAGGAGAAAGAAGAGTCAAACCTGAATCCATGCCTCAGACTAAAAGTACTAGTGTTAGGAAGGCAGCCTCTGTTTGGATAGTGTACAAAGATTGGATGACTTTGTCTTGAACATGTTAAATGGAAGGGAAAGCACATCTCAGTAGGTTCCTAACATCTCTGTTGAAGTAATGAATATAAAATATCAGCAATTATTTGTTTTTTGAATTTTTTAATGAAAAGAAAGGGAGGTGATGTGCCTGTAGTGAGAAAAATATCTACCTTATACTTTGTAGCCTCCAAATAAAAAGAAAAAAGAGAAGGAGCGCTGTACTGCTCTTCAGGACAAGCTTCTTGAAGAAGAAAAGAAACAGATGGAACATGTACAGCGAGTTCTACAGAGACTGAAACTGGAAAAAGACAACTGGCTTTTAGCAAGTAAGTTGTTGGAATAGCTACATTCCTGCTAAGGCTAAATTACAAAAGCAAACCATGTGACTTTGGAGGTGTTGAAGTGTATTATGTTTGTATTTCAACTCTGTTCACTATCTGTCCCATTCTTTGGTTCTTCATTAATGCAGAGTCTACTTCACATGTTCACTGAAGGAACTGATTTAGTTTGCTGGTGAAATTAATTACTTATAACTATAATATTGGTAGCTTATCATTCAACTTTTCTGTATAAATTCATATTTCAGGAGAAACTACAGATATAAAAGTGTCCACAGAGTGAAAATGAAAGTCTTATCCCAGGCGTAACCTTTTGGTTACAAACTATAATTTGTGGTTTTATAGCATTCTCTACGGTAAAGTCAATATGTTGCCATGTATAGTAGCCTTGAGGCTTTGAGGAAGAAGTTTACGGCTTAATATATTCTTCCCTTATTTTTAGAATCTACCAAAAATGAGACCATCACAAAATTTCTACAGCTGTGTATATTTCCTCGATGTATTTTTTCAGCAATTGATGCTGTTTACTGTGCTCGTTTTGTTGAATTGGTACATCAACAGAAAACTCCAAATTTTTCCACACTTCTTTGCTATGATCGAGTAAGTTCTTTTTATTGCAACCTTTAAAAAACGTCTCACACAGAAATAGCTAAACATTATAATCTATAGAGGTATTATTGTGTGTGTCGTTGAAAGCATGAACTCAAGAGCCAAGTGCCTGAACTTGAATCCTAACTGTGCTACTTCCTAGCTACATGATCTTTGGCAAGTTTTCTTTTAAGCTCTCCATGCCTCAGTTTTCTTAACTGTAAAACAGGATAATAGTACCTGCTTCATAAGATTGTTGTGACGATTAAATGAGTCACTACACACAAAAGCACTTTGGATAGTGCCTGATGTGTAATAAACATTGCTAATTAATCTATTAACTCAACATTTGGATTTATATGTTTGTCATAGTAGGTAGAACTCTCTCTTCTATTTTTAACTCTCACCCCTTCAAAAACAACAAAAAACTTACACCTTCACACATATTGGGTTATCGTTAAAGTCATGACGTATTTTTTCTGTTTTCAAAGGTCATTTATTTATATAAAGAACAAAGATCAATCAGTAATATATTGCCCATTTTGTTTGCTAACCTCTTGCCATCTTTCAGTGAGCTTCATAGTTCCTTGTTCATAAAAGGACCTGTCTTTTTTTTTATTGTTAGTTTCAGGTGTACAGAACAATGCAATAGTTACCCTTTTCACCCTCACAAAGTAACAACCCCCCTCCCCCCATCTATTGCCCACCCACCCCCGATATCATGCTTATCTATTACAATTCCATTGAATCTGTTCCCGCACTCTACTCTATGTCCCGAGGTTATATGTATATATAATTATAGTTGACATACAGTATTATTCAACATCAGTTTCAGAAATACAATGCGGTGGTCAGGCCTCTACATCAACTATGAAGTGGACTCCCCAAAAGGACATGAGTCCATCTGGCCCTCTAAGAAATACTTACAACATTATTGATTGTATTCCTCGGACTGTCTTTTTCTAACCCTGCGGCCATATTACAATTACCCATTTGTATTGTCTTATCCCTTCCCCTTCTCCTTCATCCCCACCCCCTCCCGACTAGCAACCCTCAGTTCTTCCTCTGTGTCTCTGAGACTATCTCCATCCACTTCTCCCATCCATTCAGTTCCTTAGAATCCACGTATAAGTGAGATCATATGATATTTGTCTTTCTCTGACTGACTTATTTCACTTAGCATAATGTTCTCTAGTTCCATCCATATTGTGCGTGCTGGTGATTTTGACCTCAACGACGCTCCTCAGTCAGGGAGGCCCATTGAGGTTGATGATGACAAAATAAAGGCATTGATTGAGTCAAACCCAAGTTACACGACACGAGAGACTGCAGAAACATTAAACATCCATCATTCAAGCATTCACAACCACCTGAAGAAGCTGAGATACTTAAGCAAGCTCGATATTTGAGTTCCACATGAACTCAAAGAAGTTCATTTGATGTCGTGTATATACGTCTGCAATACACTCATTAAACGTGAGGAAAATTATCCTTTTTTGAAGCGACTTATAACTGGTGATGAGAAGTGGATTGTTTACAACAACGTGGTGTGCAAACAGCCTTGTTCCCGATGTGATGATTCACCTCAAACGACATCAAAAGCAGACATTCATCAGAGGAAGGTTATGCTCTCAGTGTGGTGGGATTTTAAAGGTGTCGTATTTTTCAAGCTCCTACCAAGGAACCAAACAATCAATTTGAAGGTGTACTGTCAGCGGTTGGATAGTTTGAAAGAATCCATCATCCAGAAACATCCAGAGCTCGTGAATCGTAAAGGAGTTGTGTTTCATAATGACAATGCGAGACCACACACAAGTTTGATCACCCATCAAAAATTATTGGAGTTTGGATAGGATGTGCTGTCACACCCACCATACTCTCCTGACCTTGCACCATCAGACTTCCACTTGTTTTGCTCTCTTCAAAACTCCTTGTGAGGTATAATGTTCAATTCAGATAAGGCTGTAAATCAGCACCTTGTTCAGTTTTTTGCCAATAAAGACAGGTCCTTTTAGACCCCAAAGTCTCTATCAAAAAGCTATAGGCCTTGAAGGTAGATTCGTTTTGAAAAAATGGA